AAATGGGCCAAAGAACTGAACAGACATTTCTCCAAGGAAGACATACAGATGGCTAACAAACACATGAAAAGATGCTCAACATCACTCATTATCAGAGAAATGCAAATCAAAACCACAATGAGGTACCATTACACGCCAGTCAGGATGGCTGCTATCCAAAAGTCTACAAGCAATGAATGCTGGAGAGGGTGTGGAGAAAAGGGAACCCTCTTACACTGTTGGTGGGAATGCAAATTAGTACAGCCGCTATGGAAAACAGTGTGGAGATTTCTTAAAAAACTCGAACTAGAACTGCCATATGACCCAGCAATCCCACTTCTGGGCATATACACCAAGGAAACCAGATCTGAAAGAGACACGTGTACCCCAATGTTCATCGCAGCACTGTTTATAATAGCCAGGACATGGAAGCAACCTAGATGCCCATCAGCAGACGGATGGATAAGGAAGCTGTGGTACATATACACCATGGAATATTACTCAGCCATTAAAAAGAATTCATTTGAATCATTTCTAATGAGATGGATGAAACTGGAGCCCATTATACAGAGTGAAGTAAGCCAGAAAGATAAAGACCATTACAGTATACTAACACATATATATGGAATTTAGAAAGATGGTAACAATAACCCTATATGCAAAACAGAAAAAGAGACACAGGTGTATAGAACAGACTTTTGGACTCTGTGGGAGAAGGCGAGGGTGGGATGCTTCAAGAGAACAGCATCGAAACATGTATATTATCTAGGGTGAAACAGATCACCAGCCCAGGCTGGATGCATGAGACAAGTGCTCGGACCTGGTGCACTGGGAAGACCCAGAGGGATCGGGATGGGGAATACATGTATATCCATGGCTGATTCATGTCAATGTATGACAAAAACGACTACAATACTGTAAAGTAATTAGCCTCCAACTAATAAAAAATTAAAAAAAAAAGTAATCTGCTAGACCATGGTCATAAATAATTCCATTTATTTGTACCTGAGGTGTTGGGTGGGTGGGTATGTGTATTAACCACATAACAATAAAGGAAAAATAAATAAAAATAGACACTTTATTCCTGAGTTTAACTCCAAAAAGAAAATAAAGGCACTTTCCTGGTGGTCCAGTGGCTAAGACTACTTGTTTACACTGCAGGGTTCTATGTTTGGTAGGAAAACTGAGATCTCCTAAACTGCAGTCGAAAAAAAAATTTGACCCAAACAGGAGCTCACTTCAATTTAAAAACTAAAATTTATAAAATATAAACAACAAAATCAAAAAACCTCACACTACATAAACTTCAGACTTACAGCTATTAACAAAATTTCATAAATTTTTTCCTCTAGAATCACTTTTTAACATATACACTCTTGGTGTCAAATAGAACAAGATTTATTTCTAGCTCTACTGGTTATTTAATTACATAAGATAGTAAACTTCTCTTAGTTCAGATTTTCTTGTCTGTAAAATAAGGAGGGATCCAGGTCTATACCTCACATGGCGAGTGAGAGAATATGTAAAACTGGTAAAAAAGCACCTGCGCCAAGATCATAATAAGCATTCAGAAGGGTTAGCACTGTTCCTTACAGATCTGTATATAATGACCACCAAATTATTTATTATTCAACATGATGAACATGCAACCAATAATCACTGGGAATCCAAAACAGAGCTTTTCACTCTGTAAACTCTCAAAAAGAATTTGTTAAACAAATAAATATATCTGTCATAGACTGGAATTTGGACAGTGAAACATGGAAGGAGTTAGTATACTTTATTAGGTAGTATAAACATGGAAGCATAGCTGTTAGTATATTTTATTCTCTTAGCATTATGTAAGATGCAAACTATTTACAAGATGCAAAACTGAGGACCACGTACCCTGACTGTTCTAATACTTTCTACAATATCATTTTGGATTAAAACTTATCTGTTTAAGATTTGTAAATATCTTTAAGTGTCTTTACTGGATTTTGTTTCATAAAGTTCCCTGGCAGTTCAGTGGTTAGGACTCCCTGCTTTCATTGCCAAGGGACCAGGTTCAATCCCCAGTCGGGGAACGAAGATCCTGCCACCGGCATGGCCAAGGGTGGGAGTGGCGGGTAGGGGACAGACAAAAAACAACCAAGGTTGGTGATGGGTGTTAAACCGTGTTTTGGGGAGGTTTGAACATTTAATTTTTCCATAAAACATCTAGTCACAAAAGAAAATGTAAATATATTAATGAAATACATTAATAGAGTCCATACTCTTTTTGGTACTAAAACTGACCATGGATCCCAATTTTCCTAAAACTTTACTATTAATATAAAAAGATTAAAAATATCTATAACAATAGTTATTAACTGAAGTGTATCAAAAGAAAAACAGTACCACTCATATCAAGTTACATATACCTAAAAGGTTACACTATCAAAACAACCTCCAGCACATAACTTATTTCAATTTCCTTTCAAAGAAAGGCTTCTAAAATGGTTTGGCTAAGATTTACGACAGAGTAAAACAAGAAAGTGTTAGTCGCTTAGTCATGTTCGACGTGGAATTCTCCAGGCAAGAATAGTGGAGTAGGTAGTCATTCTCTTCTCGAGGGGCTCTTCCCCACCCAGGGATCGAACCCAGGTCTCCTTCATTGCAGGCAGATTCTTTATGTCAACTCCTGGGATTCTTAGTCTAGTACTTTATCTCTTTAAAAGCACAAGATACACCGCAGCCTATTTTGTAGAGGTAATTTGTCACACAAATTAGAAATAATTATTTGAGGATAATCTTTCATTTATGTAAAGAAGAGAAGCCCAGTAAATGGATAAAAAGTGGACATTCAATAAATGGTAGCAAAACTGTGATGAAATATTCCTATTATATCACACTGACTCTCAAGTAATAACAAGCTCAAGTTTCAGTAAGAACAATAATGAACACTTAGGGTTTAAAGCAAAAACAACACTAACAGTAAATGCACAGGGGTAAACAAAAAGAGTAAGAGATTAACAGATAAAAAGCTACACATGTAAGACTATGCAGATATGTGGGAAATATATACAAAAAACAAAAACAACTTAATGTAATTAATTAATTTTTAAGGGTATAGAAGCATGAAGTAAAGAAAAATTCAGTACTGGGTGAAATTAATCTGCAAAGCTCCCAGATACTAAAATCAGAAGTAAATCATTAAAAAAGAAAGAAGGACCCGGAAGAAGAGAGGATTTGAAAAAGAAATAACAGCATAGCAGAGGCATAAACAAGCTAAGCCAGAACTAACAATAGTGAGCAAGTTTTTGATTAACAAAAGTGGAGAGTATTACTGACGATCACAGATAAATAAGGCTGCTGAGGTGGAGAAGAGTCATATGGGCTGAGAAGACTGAAACTCCAAGGATGGCAAAGTCAGAAATAAGCTTTGAAAACAGGACAGTCCTGGGAGGCAGCAAATGAGGATTCTGGTCCTAATACTTCCACAGTACCTAAATTAAAGCAGTCAGCACATACGTCAAACTCCATCTGGTTATGTTTGAGAAATAAGTGAGATATGGAATACCTAGAATTACTCTGAACCCTGAAATATTGTCTGCAACAACTTATAGGGCAGGGTTGGTCACAAGTTCAGATGCCTACAGTCAAGGAGGTACCAGAAACACCAAAAATGAACCAGATCTGAGAACTGCAGTATTCCAACCTCTGTGTATTATAACCAAAATTCCAGTTATGAGGAGTTAAGAGGAGATGGGAGGAACTTAAGGACTGGAAAGCTCATGACCCAGACAGAGAGGAAGCTACAGCAGAGCTTCTGCCAATATTCATATGTGGGAATGGAAAGAAGATCAGGGTTGCTGTATTGGCCAATTTTTCAAGTCAAGCTGCAAATATGAATTTTTATGTAAAATGTCCTACATGTTAATTCAAAATACTTTAAGATAAAACATAAGCAAGTAACACATGTTAACAGCTATCATAGGATTTTAACCAGGAGACTGACAGTTTCAAAAATCATCTTTTCAGAAGCTATTCATACAAAGATTGAATAGGAACAGGTATTGATTAAAAAGGAAATAATATAGATAGGGACAGTTACTAAGATACTGTTGAAAGGAGAGGCAGTAAAAAATAAAGGCATAAATTGGCAGAATTGAGTAGCATACTGAACATGAAGCTGACAAAAGATAATTTGAAAATAAGGGTGATGATACACTGTGAGGCATTAACTGAATCCATAAAAGAAATCACAAACATCTGAGGTTACTCTTCAATACATTTCTATATAACAGGACCAAATCCACTCATTGAAGCACTCCAAAAGGCACACAAAGGTCGCTTAGGTTGCGAAGGTAAGTCAAAGCCCACTCTGCCATCCAATTACTACACACAAGCGTGACCCCAGCACAGCACTCGACTGCAAACACTCCAGAAGTGCTGCTCAGAGTATGGCCGGCAGCCCAGGGCCAGTCTACAAACATCTTGAGGTCAAGACAGTGAGTTTTTCCAAAACAAGGTCTGGAAACAATGTGACCAAAGTAAATTTTACATTTGTTGATGTTCACAATAAAAAATTGAGCCTTGTATTTTTTTTTTCATTTAGTTGTGCTCTAATTTTTTTGTATTGTATTTTATAAAATACTGGTCTGCAATAGACTAGCAATCAAAAAACTAGTCCCTCACCACAGATAGGGCTGAAAAGTGATGTTGCAAATTATTATAAAGTATTAATGTTACAAAAAAGTAAAAGACACAGTAAAAAAATTTGAACTATGAAGTAAAAATCTGTTAGATGTATATTCAGTAATTTTTTTGCTTTTGTTTTTGTCTTAAAGGAAACATATTTATTTAAATAGGCTTAAAATCTTTTATGTCAAAAAAAATCTTTTATATCTCAGCAAATTAAAATGCTAAGTAGTGGATCTCTGAGTTGCATACAATTACATTTGTGCATTTACAGAGAACTAATTCTGTTAAAAAAAAAAAAACTATGAAAAAGTCAGTGTGTCAAACACTACAATAATTTGTAAATAAAATTAACTTACCCATTGCTACATAGGACTTAAATCGTGTTGATAATCTGTCCACAAAGGCACTTAAAATTTCCAATCCCATTAATGACACCTATAGAAAGAAATTTTAATGAATACAAATTACAGATGCATATTATAACAATATGTAACTGTGACATAAAGTTCTTCATTTATTACCAAGTTTAAAAAAAAGACACTGAAATGTTCAGGGTGAACAGTCATGAGGTTAGGGCACACTCTTCTTAAATAGCCAGTAACAATAATAATATGCAAATGCAGGAAGATAGTGATACAGCCTATTTGGCAAAATATTAATTACTGGTGAATTAGGTAAAGGGTACACAGGAGTTCACAGACTATACCTGCAACTTTCCTGTAATGTTGAAATTGTTTCTTAAATGAAACATTTAAGCTAAACAGCACATTTAATTACAGAGGAATTCCAGCTTCTGTCTAGGATGAAGAAACTGGAAAAAATTATCACTCCCACTGTAAACAAGAAAAAGCCAAATAATCTACAAAACTGTAATTATTCTTGAATCCATTTAGAAAGTTATGGTTGTAGAATAATCATCTAGCTTGAAATCTTAAGGAAAGACAGATGCCAAGGAGAGATATGAGACCTAAGCAGTAGGTCACACATGGAAGAGGACGGAAGCAAGATGAAGCCACAATACAAGCGGGTAAAAAGAATTCAGGTGTGTTCAACTCCGCATTAACACCTGAGTGTGGGTTAGCATGAAAATTCAGGAACCTATCAGCTGCAGACACAAGGAGAGTTCACATCTGCTTTCAGGCTTTCTCTACAAACCTCCACTAGACACTCATAATTAAGACTGAGAACTGGGCAGGAGATCAGAGAAAGTCTCTTGGTAGTTACAGGTTTTGGTAGAAAGGAGTAGCTACCTCTGCGAGCAAATCACAAACCTTTTCCAGTTCCTTGTCCTATAAGAAACAAAAATTTGAACCTACAGATGGAAAGAGAAACACTGTTATCCTCCTGGACAGAGGTAAAAACTAACAACTACTAAGTAAAGAGAAAAGGAAAAAAAAAGCCTTCTACTTCAAGGGTAGGAGCAGAAAACCATGCTGGGTTCTCACGATTAAAGCTTTCCAGTTGAGGAGGGGCAGGATTTCTGATGAAGCTTTACCTTAAGGATCTAAGACTGAAGCTGGACCAGGAAAACCGAATAGCCCCACTGCTCATAAACGAGTCAGCAAGAGAAGAAGAAGCAACCGCAGTTTACCACTGGAAAAAGGAGAAAACCCCTCTATGAAGTACAGGAAAAAAGAGGAAGCCTAAAGTGTACGGCTGAATGATTTACAAGCTGGAATCAAGATTGCAGGAAGTTATCAACAGCCTCAGATATGCAGATGATACCACTCTAATGGCAAAACATGAAGAACTAAAAGAGCCTCTTGATGAGGGTGATAGACAAGAGTGAAAAATCTGTCTTCAAACTCAACATTCAAAAAACTAAGATCATGATATCTAGTCCCATCACTTCATGGCAAATAGAAGAGGAAAAAGTGGAAGCAGTGACAGATTTTATTTTCTTGGGCTCCAAAAATCACTGCAGATAGTGAATAAAGCCATGAAATTAAAAGATGCTTGCTCCTTGGAAGAAAAGCTATGACAAACCTAGACAGCATATTAAAAAGCAGAGACACCACTTTGCTGACAACAGTCAATATAGTCAAAAACCATGACTACTGGTTTTTCCAGTAGTCATGTACAGATATGAGAACTGGACCATAAAGAAGGCGGAGGGCTGAAGAATTGATGCTTCGAACTGTGGTACTGGAGGAGACTCCTGAGAGCCCCTTGGACTGCAAGGAGATTAAACCAGTCCATCCTAAAGGAAATCAGTCCTGAATATCCACTGGAAGAACAGATGCTGAAGCTGAAGCTCTAGTACTTTGGCCACCTGATGTGAAGAGTCAACTCACTGGAAAAGACCCTGATGCTGGAAAAGACTGAAGGCAAAAGAAGGGGGCAGCAGAGGATGAGTCGGTTAGATAGCATCATTGATTTAATGTACATGAATGTGAACCACCTCCGGGAGATAGCAGAGGACAGAGGAGCCTGGTATGCTGCAGTCCATGGGGTCACAAAGCATCAAACACGACTCAGCGACTGAACAACAACAGCAAAGTTGGGCGGAGGGGTACAGAAACAATGAGAACTCAACAATTCCACTCCTAGGTATAAACCCAAAGGAATCAAAGCAGGACATATAGATGCTTGCATGCCAATGTCATTATACATCATTCATTACAGACCAAAGGGAGAAAAGCCCAAATGGCCATCAGATGGATAAATAAACAAAATGTGGTATATGCATGCAATCAAATACAATTTGGCCATAAATAGTAATGACTGATGGGTTTCATGGTGACTCAGACAGTGAAGAATCTGCCTGCAATGCGGGAGACGTGGGTTAGGAAGATCCCCTGGAGGGCATGGCAACCCACTTCAGTATTCCTGCCTGGAGAATCCCTAGGGACATGGGAGCCTGGCGAGTTACAGTCCATGGAGTTGCAAAGAGTCGGACATGACTGAGTGACTAAGCACACAGCAAGGTAATGACTAATACAAGTTACAATACGGATAGACCTTAAAAACATTCTGATAAGTGAAAAAGCCAGACACAAATGGTTATATGTTGTGTGATTCAATTTATCAGAAATGTCCAGAACAAATTCAAACAGAGAGAAAGTAGATTAGTAGTGCTTAGGACTGGTGGATGTAGAGGGGTAGGGAGGTAACAGGTAAATGGTACAGGGGTTTTTTTTGAAGTAATGAAAATGCTCCAAAATTGACTGTGCCGACGGTCATGCAAATACACTAAAAAACAATGAGGCGTGCACCTGAAATGAGTGAACCGTATAACATGTGAATTACATCAATAAAGCTATTAAAAACTTAACTGGAAGTGCACAGACACACTCATACACAAAATTTAATAGATGATGAAAGCAGTATCTGAAATCAGCAGGAAGAACATGCACACTTAGTAAGATCTCACTTAGGATATCTATCCTGAAGATAGACCACCAAAATTATGAGAAGACACAAAAAGATTATTGCAAGAGACTGGAAACTACACAAACATTCATCAGTATGAGACAGATTCAAAAAATTATGGTACATACACACTACAGACAACTATGACACTTTAAAAATAAAATTGAGCCTTGCGGATCCTGCACCAGAGGAGACGCATGCTGCTGACTTTGTCTTCGTGCAGCCCTCACCACTGTCTGGAGAACTTTCTCTCCCCTGGGCACAATGGCAACTCTTAAGGACAAACTGATTGTGCCAGCTGCGGAAGAAGAGGGAACAATCCCAAGCAATAAGATCACTGTAGTGGGTGTTGGACAAGTTGCTATGGCATGTGCCATCAGCATTCTGGGAAAGTCTCTGACCGATGAGCTTGTTCTTGTGGATGTTTTGGAAGATAAACTCAAAGGAGAAATGATGGACCTGCAGCATGGGAGCTTATTCCTTCAGACACCAAAAATTGTGGCAGACAAAGATTACTGTCACCGCCAATTCCAAGATCATGGTGGTAACTGCAGGAGTTTGCCAGCAAGAGGGCGAGAGTCGCCTGAACTTGGTGCAAAGGAACGTTAACGTCTTCAAGTTCATCATTCCTCAGATCGTCAAGTACAGTCCTGACTGCATCATCATTGTGGTTTCCAACCCAATGGATGTTCTCACGTATGTTACCTGGAAACTAAGTGGATTACCCAAGCACTGTGTGATTGGGAGTGGATGTAATCTGGATTCTGCTAGATTTCGCTATCTCATGGCTGAAAAACTTGGCATTCATCCCAGCAGCTGCCACGGATGGATTCTGGGAGAACATGGCGACTCAAGCATGGCTGTGTGGAGTGGAGTGAATGTGGCAGGTGTTTCTCTCCAGGAATTGAATCCAGAAATGGGAACAGAAAATGATAGTGAAAATTTGAAGGAAGTGCACAAGATGGTGGTTGAGAGTGCCTATGAAGTCATCAAGCTAAAAGGATATACCAACTGGGCTATTGGATTAAGTGTAGCTGATCTTATGGAATTCATGTTGAAAAATCTATCCAGGATTCACCCAGTGTCAACAATGGTGAAGGGCATGTATGGCATTGAGAATGAAGTTTTCCTGAGCCTTCCATGTATCCTGAATGCTTGAGGGTTAACCAGTGTTATCAACCACAAGCTGAAGGATGAAGAGGTTGCCCAACTCAAGAAGAGTGCAGATACCCTCTGGGGCATCCAAAAGGACCTAAAGGACCTGTGACTCTGGCTGCGAGACTGTAGAAACTTAAAACTACAGTTTGATTAACCACAAGCCTTTAGTTTGCGTCCATGTACATGGAGCACAGTTCGCTTTTGTCTTCCTAAATCTGTGAATCTGGGTTCCCAGAATCAAAGCCCATGCTTGCTTTAATGCTTGCAAGATGAGTCCTTGAACAAATAAAACAAATCACCTAGTGTAGTGTGGAAAAAATAAAAATAAAAATAAAATTGAGGGCTACCCTACTCTTGCTTTGCAATGAACTCCAAGATACATTAAGTGAAAAAAGCAACTTGGAGAGACGCATATTTAATATATATTTAAAAAGGGGACTACTGGTTGGGGATGGAAGGGAAGCTCAACAGCAAGGGAATATATGTATACTTATAGCTTATTCATGTTGTTATACAGCAAAAAGTAACACAATGTTGTAGAGCAATTTTCCTCCAATTAAAAAAATTTAATTAAAAGAAATTTTTAAAGGAGGGCTACAAATATTAAGGGATATAGTTATGAATGTTTAAAAAAATAACAACAATGGAAGGACAATCAGAAAAAAAATTTTATGGCTGGGAACAGGGTATAAGTCACATATAAAGAAATCAGACTATTTTGAATATACCTTATTTGCAGCAATAACTAATTTCATTGAAAATGAAATAAAATAAGTAAACATAACGCTGGTGTTGGTCACTCAGTGATGTCCAACTCTTTGAGACCCCATGAACTCTGTAGCCCACCCAGGCTCCTCTCTGTCCATGGGATTCTCCAGGCAAGAATACTGCAGTGGGTTGCCATT